CTCTATTTTGCCCTCTCTCCTTTGCGTTTCCCTTTCCTTCTCAGGACCCTTGGCTGCCGTCGTCTCCCTTGGACTCCACGAACACCACCCCTGACACGTTTCCATCTCTCTATCCGCCATCACCACCCGGCGGTTGTCGCGCAGCCTCGTCCCACTCGGTCCTCCCACGAAAGACCTATGAAGCTATAAATAGTCCGGGCTCTCCTCACCTTCCCTCCGCCCGCACCTCCCTGGTTGGCGGATCGAACGGCGGGAGTGGCGGAACGGTCCCTACCTGTTAACCTACGACGATGACGACGATGACGGCGCTGATGGATCCGTTGAGTGCACGAGAAACCAAGAGGAGGTGACGTCTTTTGTTCATTTAAATAAGGAGAAAATTATGAAATTATTTCAAAATATTTATCTTTATATAAAAATAATAGATTACTTTTATATATCGATATATCGTATAAAAATAATCGTATCAAAACAGCTGCGAAAATATGCGAATTTTACTGAGAATAAAATTTGTTTTGAATTAATACAATTATGTGAAAGTATTACAAGTATAAAACAAATTTTAATTTTTCAATTCTGTTGAAAGTCTTTCTTTTTTTAGCTTCATTGATAACGATGTGCTTAATTGAGCATTTTAACATCTACATATTTTTGACGAATCGTATCAAAAAAATCATTACAGAAGTTAATCATGTCGAATATATAATTCACATAATATTGTATATTATAATTCAATGATTATTACCACATATTATTATTCAATGATCAATAATATAATTCAATTTTTATTTGTTTTTTTAATCATCTGTTTTTAATATCAGTATCAACATTTTCTCGGGCGCCAGGGACATTCTGAGTCGTTTCGCACCAGTATCGCGCGATTATGGATCACACATGCGAAATCTCGGGGTTTCCCCTGGCAACATCACGATTGCGCTCGACCGCCCTTCTTCTCGTCGTATTGTGCTGTCTTTTTCGTCGTATCTTCTGTGAGTCAGAAAACGGCGCGGGCGCCGCCTCGCGCTGTCACGGTGGCGCCAAGTCGCCCTTTTGCCGGGCAATTTTTCTGTCAGGTCCGCGTTTTCGTACATACACGCGTTTCGCAGCCGAGAATTGATCATGATAAACGATACAATAATACCCGACGATTTCGAGTTCTCGAGTCCTTTGATAATTATCTTCACAGAAATGATAGAGGTAAGAGCGATTGCATTTAAAAAGTGCTATCTCTTTCTTTATTCGTTTTTTTTTATTTCATAGACAGGCGTAATAATTCTTCGTCGTGTTTTACGTATTTAGAGAGAATTGAGTTTATTCCACTTTGCATTTTCTACTTTGTATGCTTTAGAAACGTATAATAAGACCTGTAGTAAGACACCTTTGAGAGATTCGTGACCTGAAATTTAAATAAAATTTTAATATACATAATTAATTAGAATGATTAGTATGTGTTTTAGTAGTGTATTTACTATTTCTAAGAAGATACTAAATTTATATCATTAAATCGCCTTTCAATAAATGCCTAAAATTTGGAATTTTTTCCGCAGAAAAATAGAAAACTTATATTCAGTTATATTTACAAAAAAATTTTTTTTATTACTTTGAACCAAATAAGATTTTTTATAAAAAATTTTCAAATATCGCGAAAAAATCATTTTTTGCATTTTAAAATTCAGTTATTTTAAAAATAACATGCTGAAAAAGTTTA